CGGGCCCCGTAATAGAGTGACCTCTGCGTGCGCGGCTTGCCGACCTCAGGTCTCCTGCGGATGTGCGGGACTATGTGGCTGTAGCGAACGCCTCAAACAAGATGCATCACTTTTGAAGCTATGCCGCGATTGTCAAGAAACATCTGGATGCAGACAGTGGTCCTCGGTGTAAAAAACCTCTTTACCTTCCCTCGCGTCCACCCAAAGCCGCGCACCACGGGCGACTCCAGCGAAAAATCAACTCTTACGTGCAAGCGAGACGGAGCACAGAAGAAGCGACGCTGGGAAGTCCAGGCTTCCCCACCAAGAGGACTGGCGACACCAAGTCCCCGACTTCGTGGGACTTTGGCGGAAGACCATGCGGGGCCTAACTTATGGAACAGTCCCCCAGGAGGTGTATTCCCGAGTTCCACCTCGTTTCTAAGCGGCAATATAAGGGGGGGAAAGGACGCGAGGATGGCAGGAACAAACCGATCTGGGTCGGCACTATACACCTCTCCCTCCAAATGTGTATTTTTATGCACTTTGTCCTCCTCGAGATAAGGGGCGAGGAATCGAAATCGAATCGAATCGAATCGAATAGGCCGCGCTCGGATGCACGACAACGCTGTGCAAAAGTGTCCGCATCGAACCGTCGAAACTATCGGGATAAAATCGGACCGGGCCAGCTACAAGCGATATCGAATCTGATCGATCCGATCGAACTGCACACTGCCAAGTAGGGTCCGATTTTCGGCGACCGTTCGGGACGATTAGGGCACTCTCGGAAGGCCCTCGGCGAGGCGCAGCTGTTGCAACGTCTCCCGAGGTTGGAAAACCTTGATAGGAACCTACGAGAACGCGCGAAAACCTCGAACCTCGAGACGAGCCTCCCCCCCTTCCGCGACGCAGAGCATCTGAATTAGAACTCGAGGACCGGTCGGTCCTGGCGAGGCGCACCCCGAGGGGACACAAACCTCCAGGAGCCGACGGGGACTCAATCGACGGGCGCTTTGGCCGGTGACCCGGCGAACCCCCAACCCTCCCGGACGCGGGCAGTGCCGCAATGCCCAGAAGAGCGCCTCAAACTGGCAAGCTTCGGCGGATGTCTAAAAACCCGTTGGTGAGTACGGCAAATTCGTGCCGTGACGTAACCATCGGTCGGAAGAAGTAGGTAGACACATGAAGCAGGAAGGCGTTGAAAATAGATAGGGTTCCGCCCGCCTCCTTGGGAGGACGGAATAGGTGAAGCCACTCGATCATTGAAATAGGAAGGCGCTTGAAGTAGATTGGAAACTGGGAATCCAAAAATACCTACTTTCAAGGACCGATGGGTATTCATCCATGCCAGTGCCATCAAAACGCGTCCCGAGGGTACCCACCCCTGGAGGAGCAACGCCGCCAGGGGGGCCCAGCGCGGATCCGAGAAGTCCGCGCGGACCTCCGAAATAATGCGTAGCACCTCGCAGATGCAGATAAGAGTGAGGGGGCGGTCGCGGGGTGGTTCGCGGGTCGGTCGCGGGTGGGTGGCAGGGCGGGTCGCCGCTGGGTCGCGGGGGGGTCGCGGGCGAGGACGACGACGACGACAACACCACCACCACCACCACCACCACCACCACCACCACCACCAACAACAACAACAACAACAATTACTAGCACGTGGGGACACTCCGTTCTCACCAGTGCCAGGGTTTTCATAGGAGGCGGGCAATACCCCCACTTTGTGGGGGGGCCGGTTCAAGCTCTACCAAATTTCCAAACGACTCTTCGCCACCACCCACACCCAGCTTCCCGCCCTATGACGTTCGGACACTTCACTTCGTGGCATGCGGACGACCGTGGCTACTATTCAGGGCCCCGCGGCCGACGACGACGGCGTGCGCGCGCGAAGAAAAAACGAATGTGTCCCGCATGGTATTATTTGACAGGGATGATGGCCCTGGCAGGTGCGCAACCGTTGTTGCAGAAGTTCGAAAAAGTTGCTCGCAAAAGCCCGTTTGACAGAAATGTTTAAAAAGTGTTGGGTTTCCTACGAATCCGCAAGAGCGCGCGGGATGAAATTTTGACCATAAAAAAAACATTGGTCTTTTGATGTTTTTTATGTTAAAATCGCTACGAAAACTAAGGTTTTGGAAGGATTTCGTCTTGCGCGCGCGAATGTCAACTTTACCTTATTTTTTGCAAGGGATTCTTGAAGTTTGGTTATGTTAGAACAAGAAATGTCCACTTTAGCTTATTTTTTGCAAGGGAAAGCGGGCCGTAACAAAACAACCGGATCCGGACCAACCCGTTTTGCCTGAGACTTCCTCACGAAAATGATGAAAATGTGGCTGCGGCCTAGGCGCGGCGGGGGGGCCATGCACCAGGGGTCCCAACAATAATTATTCTTTAGAAGTAATAATGTTCAACAACAACAATAATAATAGCAGCAACAACAACAACAAGAGCAGCAACATCATTAGCATCAGCATCAGCAACAGCACCACATCCAAACGAACTTTTAAATGGTGAACAGACAAACCAACGACCAACGAACCAACAAACAAACACTTAAACAAACAACACTACTCATGTTGAGACTGTTCGCTCTTACCTGCCCGCGTGCCAGTCCACACGTATACGCAAACCCACGATGCCCGCCCCTTGTGCCTTCGATCGTACCCCCCTTGGGGGTATGGCGCAGCCCCTGAAACAGGGGAAGTAAGGGAGGATAGAAGAGGGGAGGGAGAAGGATGAAGCACGAGAGAGATTTGCAGGTGGAGGGTTAGGTGCAGGAGTACAAGTGGCAGAACCAGACGGGCGGGTCGGGCGGGCGGACTCAGACGGGCGGGTCGGGCGGCGGGTCCAAACGGCCGTGTAGAACGGGCGGGTCGCAGCAGAGTCGCAAGTGAATCATGAAGAAATCCAAAACAATAGTGTGATTCCAAAATGTTGGAGGCACGCACGGCGCAGGACACATTGCGCGGAAGTGCCACATAAGAGCGCGAGTCATGCATAAGTTATGAGGAGCTCCCGCGCGAGAGAGCAATTTGAACTTAGCTCTGAGGAAGTATCCAACGGGAGCCGATGTTGTTGTGGTTCGCAGGACCGGCGCCCAATCTGAGCCGCCATATTGTCCCTAGTAGAAACAACAAGGTGCGAACCCCAGGCGGAGCACTTTAGGCAATTGAAAAAAAAAACACCAGGTGCACCGAGGGGGGAACAACAACACTTGTTCTTTACATCTAAGAGCTCAACAATCATCCTAAGACTGCTCGGTCCTATCTGCTCGCGTGCTCTCCCACACGTATATCGCAAACCCTTGGCACCCGCCCTCTTGGTATTCGACCGTACCCCCTTGGGGACATGTCTTCCTCCCCTGCCACGTGTGTTTGGCGAAGCCCCTGAAACAGGGAAAAAGAGGACGGATGAAGGGGGAGGGAGAAGGATGGGGGCTGGGAAGATCGGGCGGGTAGACCCTAACAGGCGGGTCGGGAAGGCGGGCCCAGGCGGCCAGGTCGAGCAGGCGGGTTGCTGAAGCGTGAGTCCTGCATTCGTCGCGAGGAAGTTTCGAGCGATAGCGCGATTCCCAAGGAAATCGTGAGTAAGGCCAAAGCGAGAGCTGAGTGTCGAGGGCGTGGCGTCTGAAAAAGTAGCAAGGAAGCCCACGCGAGAGCGCGATTCCTGCGTAAGTTGAGAGGAAGTCCCGCGCGAGAACGCGATGCTGGAATACATCGTCAGGAAGTATCAATTCGGGGGCCAACAACGCAATCTGAGCCTCAAGACTTCCTCTTGTAAAAAACCGGGTGCGAGCAACGCGAGGAGCACTTGCATTGAAAAACACAAGGTGCACCGGGGGGATCAACAAACACTATTCTTCAGAACGAAGAACTCAAGAATCCAGACCGCGGATCCCCAAGTCAGCTACGCACCCAGGGACAGTGTAAGACCGTTCGGCCCCCTCACTCTCATGTTTCTGGTCGAGAACTTTTGCTTAGCGTGTCGCGGGGGCGGCCCTGGCGACACGCTATGCTCTGCGAGCGGATCGCGTGTTACCCGATCCGCGGGGCGGAAGGCCAGGAACTGCTTGGGACGCTGACGCCTGGGCGCTGAGCAGCGTATTGCGTGTCGAGCCGAGGCGCGGTGGCCCGGAACCAGCGGCGCGACAAGCTGAGCCAGAGCTCCTGACCATAAGTCTAGACTGGAGCGATGGGGGCAACGCCAACGGGGGGCGGTGGGAGGCGCAGTAGTTCGCTTGCGCAAACCATTGCGCGAACTGTTGCTGGGGGGCGCCACGTATTGCAAGGGGCGCAAACTGTTGAGCTGGAGAAGAACGCACGGTTAATTACATCCGCGCGCAAGTCTTGCGCCCAGACCGCAAGCCACTGCCTCCATGCAGAAACTGCTGCGAAGCACGCTCGCACCCACTCCGCCCCCCCGACTGTGCTGCCCCTACCACTCCGGCTCAGAGTAACACCGCTCGGCCCTCCTCGCTTTGATTTCGGCGGCCAGCCCGGGGTGGAAGCGAGAGGGGGCGGGCCTTCTCAGAAGGCTCGGAAGTCCCCCGGACTTCTGAGAAGTGCTCCAAGCCTTCCCCGAACACACCGAAAACCTTTCAGAAGGCAGAAGGTATTCCGACATGCCCCGCCATCTTCTGAGAAGGCCCTATCCTCCTCAGTTCTCCCACTCGCTCGCCACAACGACCCACCTCTCCGGCTCAGAGGTTCAGACCGCTCGGCCCCCTCGCCCTGATGTCTATGCTGTCTTGTCTTCTTCGGCGGAGGCCTCCACCAACGGCGGCGCCTTCTTAGGGAAACCACAAGACACCGATGCCGCTCTCCCCGGACCTCTCCTGGGGCGCGTTCTGACCAGGATCTCGCAGCGAATCCAGCGGATCCGGCGGTGGCGACGGGGGCCTCCCAGAAGAGCCCCCAAAAGTTGGAAAACGAGGGAAGGGAAGCGGCATGGGCACTCCAGATTTCGTAATAAAGAGAGGGGGGTCTCATTTCGGGGGGGGTCTCTTCCAGGCTATCTTGGAGGGCCTGGGGGGTCTGGGGACGATGTTTTGGAGGGTTCTCCCACGGGGGAGGTCTGAAATGGCTTGTCTTGGAGGGTCCAGACCCCCTCCCTTTTATTACGAAATCTGGAGTACCTTTTTCTCATCTGAGCCTTGCGCCGCCGCGCCGCCCACGAGCGCGGGCCCGCCGCCGCCGGCGGGCGCCGCCCGCGCCGCGGCGCGCGCGGCCGGCGCCGCGACGCGGCCGCCGCCGCGCGCGGCACCGCGCAGGCGCCCAGGAGCCCCGCGAGCATGGCGGGCGGCGCGGCCGGCGGCGCGCGCCGCGCGCGGCGCGCCTTGCGCCGGGGCTGACGACGACGACGAGGAGCAGGAGGAGGATGGTGACGACGACGATGACGAGGAGGAGGAGGAGGAGGAGGAGGAGGAGTAGGCGGAGGATGAGAAGGACGAGAAGAAGAAGAAGGAGGAGGAGGAGGAGGATGGTTACGACGACGGCAACGACGAGGATGATGATGATGAAGATGAAAATGAATATGAAGATGAAGATGAAGATGAAGATGAAGATGAAGATGAAGATGATGATGATGATGATGATGATGATGCTGATGATGATGATGATGGTGATGGTGATGGTGATGATGATGATGATGATGATGATGATGATGATGATGATGATGATGATGATGATGACGCTGATGATGCTGATGATGCTGATGATGTTGATGCTGATGATGAAAAAGATAAGGATAAAGATAAAGATGAAGCTGAAGATGATGGTGACGATGAGGAACATGATCATGCTGATGATGTTGGTTGTGGTGGTGACAATGATGGCTCGCTGGTCGGCAACACCATCTCCCCGCTGGACACCCCGTGCAGAGAGCAAGACCGCCCGTCTTGCCGGTGTCGCCAGGGCTGCGCCCGATTTCCAGGTGGCCCGTGTATCGCGCGAACCCCAACTGGGCACCGACATGCAGAGGGCAACGCCGACGGCCTCGTCGTTGCAGCTTGGGTTGCGCAGAGGCGCACCCGCCAACAATCCGATATGCCCTTGGCGTCGCGCGTGCTGGCGGGGTCGGCGTAAGAGGTCCGGGTGGAGAGTGGCGAGAAGCAAAAAAAAGAAGTGGCCTCGCGGAGCTCGTCCTTTCCCATGCCTCCTCCTCCTCCTGCACTGTCACAAAGCTGCGCACCTCCACTGTCACAACACTGCGCATCCCTTACTCCTCCTCCTCCTCCTCCTCCTCCTCCTCCTCCTCCTGAACCTCCTCCTCCTCCTCCTTCCTCCTCCTGCACCTCCTCTTCCTCTTCTCCTTTTCCTCCTGCACGGTCGCACGCCAGATCGAGCACAAGCGATTGCCCAAGATCCAACACAGCCTGAGCTGGACGGTTTGGCAACACTGAATAGCCACGCTCTGCTGAGCAATTGTTGCGCGAATGCTGTTAAGCAACCGTGGCGATTGTGTCAAACAGGAAGCGGCGCGCCCTCGTCTTCGAGCCTCCGACGCCCTGATTTGCTCAAACGCGTGGGCCTCTGAAGCTCTCGACCCAGACATTCGCCTGGACTTGGCGTCGTACTCTACGGCAAGTTCGTGTCGTGACGACCCTGGCGTCGGTTCCTGACACCGCAGGGATCGCTCAAACTTGAACGATCGGACGTTCCGTGAACGCCGGATCGTTCAAGGACGGGCCGATTCTGGGCCACGGGCGGCGTTCAACCTGAAACGCCCGCGGTGGGGTCGCCACCGGTCGGCACGACGCGAACCTGCCGCACTTTGGCGCGGGCCTCGGAGCCTCCAGACTCCAGAGGCCCAAACTCACGAACAGCGGTCGCCCCCCTCTCTTCGAGAGGCCTCCAGTCTGGGCCCTCGGGCCCCCAGTCGGCCAGATGGGGCCGCATCTGGCGTGCCGTGCACAGACGGCTCTCGACGGGACGCGGCTGCTGGAAGTCCCCTGGGGGCCGAGCACGGCCCAGGACCCGCTCACTAGACACTCGAGCCCCACCGATACCATCGGGAACTCTCCGAGACCATCAGGAGGGCTTCGCAAACTTCCCGAAGACTCCAATGATTTTCCAAGATGCCGCGGCATGCATGTCTAGGTGGACGCCGACAACGCCGGCGGCGGCGGACGTGAGGGAGGGGGTTCCTGAAGGACACAGCGGATCACGGGGCTTCCCGAACATCCAATTTTCGTCCTGAGCCGTGGTCCGAAAGTCCCAGGGTCCCGGAGCTGCCTGGGGATGCTGAAGGCAGCAGCAGGAAGCCTCAGAGCCCCCTTCCCTATGGCAACTTCTCTCATGGCCGCGTCTCAAGCCCAGACCCCCGACGTCATCGCTTTTCCAAACCATCCTGTGGTGTTGGGTCCTCATGTTGAAAAGACAGTCCCCACGTCTGCTCTCCTCCTCCTCCCCCTCCTCCTCCTCCTTCCTCCTCCTCCCCCTCCTCCCTCCTCCCCTCTCCTCCTCCTCCCCCTCCCCCTCCTCCTCCTCCTCCTCCTCCCCTCCTCCCCCTCCTCCTCCTCCTCCTCCTCCTCCTCCTCCTCCTCTCCTCCTCCTCCTCCTCCTCCTCCTCCCCCCTCCTCCTCCTCCTCCTCCTCCTCCTCCTCCTCCTCCTCCTCCTCCTCCTCCCCTCCTCCTCCTCCTCCTCCTCCTCCTCCCTCCTCCTACTCCCTCCTCCTCCTCCTCCCCCCCCTCCTCCTACTCCTCCTCCTCCCTCCTTCTCCCTCCTCCTCCCCCTCCTCCATCCTCCGGTCACCCCCCTCACTCTGGCATGGCAGACGCGACCCGCCCTGTCCGCCCGCCCCCCCCCTCCCCCCGGGGGCTCTACAGCCATGCCCGAGAGCCTCGACCCTCGAGCGACGTCGCAACTTCTTCGCGACGGGGCCCGCGCGGAACTCGACCCTTTCCGGAGGGCCAGGAAGCGGCCTCCTCCTCCTCCTCCTCCTCCTCCTCCTCCTCCGGAGGAGGAGGAGGAGGAGGAGGAGGAGAAGGAAAAGGAGGAGGAGGAGGGGGAGGAGGAGGAGGAGGAGGAGAAGGACGAGGAGGAGGAGGAGTAGGAGGAGGAAGAGGATCAGGAGGAGAAGCCAAACATACAAAGAGCCAAGCAACAGCAACAATCGCATTCAGACTGTCCGGTATTCGGCGCTCGCGTGTCATTCAACGTGTGTGCCCCAAACCCTCGATACCCACCATCTTCGTCTTGGATCGCCGCCCTTGAAGAAGGAAAAAGAGAGAAAGCGAAGAGGAAGGGAGTGGAGGAAGGGAGGAGAGAAGGAGGCAAGAGAAAGGCAGGGAGGAGCTGGATGACGAGAGGGAGTAGCAAGAGGGGATGGCAAGGAAGTCTCAGGCAAGAGCGCGGCTCCTGGGCAAAGTGTGAAGAAATCTCAAGCGCGAATGCGATTCCAGAGCGCCGACAGCGCGACTCGTGCAAAAATGTGCCAGGCGAGGTCGCGATTCCTGGACACACTGCTAGAAGGTCCCTGGCGAAATGAGCCGGCCCTGTCGGCGTGTGTGAGGGGTTTCTCCGTTCGAGTCGGGTTCCGTTGAAACCTGCCAGCGAGAGCAAAACCTAGCAATGTCGTAATCAAATCGAAGGGAAGCCCCTTCCTTTTAAGCCCTCCCCCGTCGGGAGGGAAGGCGGTGGCAGATACGCATCCCCCCTGGGGGTCTCATGGGGAGGGGGGGTCCCGACAGGGGTGTGCGCGGGGGGGGGGGGGGGGGGGGGGGGGGGGGCGTTTTTCCGCCTACTCCTCGTTCGGCTCCTCCTCCTCCTCCTCCTCCTCCTCCTCCTCCTTCTACCTTGTCGCGGTCATCGTCGTTGTCTTCAGGGTCGGCGGCATCGGCCGTAAGGCCTTCGCAATCTACACGTCTTCGTGGACTTTAGAGAGCTATAAGGCGGACGCTGTTGATGTAGCGAACTTGAGGCCAGGGGCCCGCTCTGAGGTGCAAGACTTCCGACTTCCCCCACGTAAAAAACAGGGGCCGAGCTCCGGGAGGGGCACTTCAAGTGACAACTCAAAACGTGCACTTGAGGGGGAGGAATCATCCCACAGGCGCTTTGGGCCAAGATGGTCCAGCGAGATTTTTCTCTCACCTTCCAAAGCCCTCTTCCAGTCGGGGGGGTACCCTCCCCCTGCCATCCCTGAGGTTTTTTTGGGGTGGGGGCCGCGAGGTGGCAGAGGGTCCTGCTTCGCCCCCCAAGATGGCTCCGCGATGCTCCAAGAGGGTATCCAATGCTCCAAGATGGTATCCAAGATGGCTCAAGATAACCGACGACGGTTCAAGATAGCTTCCGACATCCCTCCAAGAGGCCCGACGAGGGCCACACGACGGTTCTAAATGCTCTCGTATCCCCCATCAGGACCCCCCCAAGATGCCGACATCCTTCAGATACCCAAGGAAATCAATGATTTGTGAAGTCTTGCCTGTTCGCTTCCGGTGCGCGTCTGAGGGCTCAGGATGGCCCCAAGAAGGCCCCAAGGGAGGCCCAAGGAGGGGCGCAAGAAGTCCCCCAGACGGCCCCAAGAGTGCCGAAGAGCGGCCCAAGAGCGCCCCAAGAAGGCGCCTAGAGGCGATGTTGATGGCCCCCGGGTGGGAGGTAAATCGAGGACCCCCCCCCTTTCAATCGATGGCCTCCAAGAGGCCCTCCAGGGCCCCCAAGGGACCCCAAAGAGGGCCTCAAGAGGACCCCAAAAGGGCCCCGAGACTTCTCAAGAGAGCCCCAAGAGGACCCATAGATCCCCCCAAAGAGTTCCACGAGGGCTCCAAGAGGCGATTTTGAAGGCTCTGTCCTCGTCCTCGTTGTTCTCCTCCTCGTCCTCGTCCTCGTCCTTGCTCTCATCGTCTTCATGTCCCCTTTCCTTCTGTTCCTCGACTTCGTGGTCGTCGTCGTCGTCGTTGTCTGCATCCTCCTCCTCCTCCTCCTCCTCCTCCTCCTCCTTCCCTCGCCCCCACGCGGGCTCCAGAGCTGGCCCGAAGAGGCCCTCCAAAGCCACCCTTTTCCTCCCAAATATTCATATGGTCACCCT